AGATAAAAAATATAAGATGATGTGGAGAGCCATGAACCCCGACGTCCTGTAGTGACAAGGGAAACATTGAACAACGTACCTAACGAGCTTATGTAAATGGATGCTAGAAAAGGGAAGTGATGTTATGGCAAAAGAACATTACTAAGAGCTAAAAATATAGGAAGATGTGGAGAGCCATAATCCCGGACGTCCTGAAGGGAAACTTAACTAGCGTGCTTGTGTAAATGGATGCTAGAACTGGGAGATGAAAGTATAATAAAAAAAAAACATGGCTATGATCTACAAATATAGGAAGTTATGGAGAGCCATGGACCTCGCCGTTCTCAAGGAGAAGGGGAAACAATGAGCAATATATCTAATGAGCTTGTGTAAATGGGTGCGAGAACAGGGATGTGAAGGGACAGCACAAAAACATTGCTAAGAGGTACAAAATATAAGAAATTGTGGAGAGCCATGAACCCCGACGTCCGGAAGAGACAAGGGAAACATTAAGTAACGTACCTAACGAGATTGTGTAAAATAAATGGATGCCAGAACAAGGAGGTGAAAAGCAGGTAAAAAAAAACATGGCTAAGAACTATAAATTATAGGAAGCTGTGGAGAGTCATTGACCACAGGTTCTGAAGGGATGAGAGAAACAGTGAGTAACTAACCTCACCTCGCACAAATAGGTGGCAGAACCGGTTGTTGAAGGCATAGTAAGGGGATAAACATTGCTAAGAGTTACAAACGATAGGAAATTGTGGAGAGCTATGATCGATCATCTATGGGCACAAGGGGCACGGTACATAGTAGAAGAAAACAGATATTCTATTTTGTTACCCATAGTTATTAGGTACGTTACTGTCTGTTTCCCTTGTCTCGTCAGGACGTTAGGGTTCATGGCTCTCCACAACTTCCTATACTTTGTATGTATCAGCCACGTTTTTTATTGCCCTTTCACCCCCCTGTTCTGACATCCATTTACACAAGCTCGTTAAGTACGTTAATCATTGTTTCCCTTGTACCTTCAGAACGTGGGGTACATGGTCCTCCACAACTTCCTATATTTTGCAGTTCTTAGTAATGTCTTTTTACTATAATTTCACCTTCCTGTTCTAGCATCCATTTGCACAAACTAGTTAAGTACGGTATTCATTGTGTCCCTTGTCCTTGTCCCTTCAGAACTTGGGGAATCATGGCCCTCCACAACTTCCTATATTTTGTAGCTTTTAGCAATGTCTTTTTACTATACTTTCACCTCCCTGTTCTCGCATCCATTTACACCAGATCGTTAGATCTGTTACTCATTGTTTCCCTTGTCCTTTCAAAACATGGGGTCCATTGCCCTCCACAACTTCCTATACTTTGTAGCTCTTAACCATAATTTTTTTATTATCTTTTCACTTTTCTGTTCTAGTACCCATTTATACCAGCACATTAGGTACGTTACTCATTGTTTCTTTTTAGAACGTGGGGGGAGGGTCCATGGCCCTCCACAGCTACCTATGTAGCTTTTATAATGTCTTTTTTTATTATCCTTTCACCTCCCTGTTCTGGTATCTATTTACACGAGCTCGTTAGGTATGTTACTCACTGTTTCCCTTGTCCCTTCAGAACGTGCGGTTCCATGTCTCTCCACAACTTCCTATATTTTAGCAATGTTATATTAGCTTGTTAGTTAACATAAACAGCGATTGCTTAAGAAGCAGACGATAAATAGCCGCCATGTTGGATTTTATTACTTTTACTGACAATTTGCAGCATGTCCGTTCCAGCGGAGCTCTCGCTAATAAATTAAAAAGCTAAAAAGAATCATATTGAAAATTTACCAGGACATTTTGTCATACCGAGGACCTGCTAAAAAATTGAATTTGAAACTTCAGGTACGTAACAAATTACATTTCTCTCAATGTATTATTAAATCAATACAAACTTAACGTACATAGTAAAAAGGAAGACAAAATTTTAAATTTCCGTTCTACGGCTTCATTTTAATTTGGATTACTTTTTTTATTTTCTTTTTACGTTCGTTTTTTTCTTCTTCAGTCTATGACAAGGTGAAAATAAAAACAGGAATAAAAACGTAAACCCTCACGAAAACATTGCATTTTAAAACTATGAAAGTGATTTACTTTAAAGATCTGCACTGTCTTTCGACTGCAATTTTACCGAAATTTATTCGAATGTTATTTACATATATAACTAAAATAATATTCTGTTCAGCCGAGAAAAGCGCCTTGATGAAAACATGCTCGTTGTCTGCGAGGACAAATAGATGAAAGAATTCGATTATTGCCCAAAGATAATGCAACACCTTCATGTGCTTCCTGCCATCAACAATAAGTCTAATTAAACTTGAGAGGCAAACACGAAATTCTGCAGCCTAGCCAGGTAGGTACCTCGACGAGATCGCTAAAAATTCAACATGCCGTGATGAAAACATGCTCCAAACGTAATGAAAACATAGTTTTATCATCAAAATCGCTATGTTGTTATTAAGAGGAAGGATCAAAGTATTTTTTGATTATTTAATTATTTTTTTTTACTCCTTTTTAGAACATTCGAAATTTTAATTAAAAAAACTTGTTATCCCTGCGTCAGCGATTGTAGTAACTTTTAGCAAAATTTTCGTCTCTTTTTTTTTTTTGCGGTGGCAGACACATTAATTTGGAAATTCTTGCAAAAAATCAAGTAATTGTCAGATTTTAATGAAATTTTCAGAACTTATTCACAAATGAATTAAATTATTTTTGAAATTCTCTCTATTAGAAAATCCTGGTAAAAATATTTTTATTCTACAGGTGTTTCTCCCCCTTACTTAATTTTAAGAAAGCTTGAGGAATTCATTGAGATAATTTTTAATGACTACATCAGTTAAAAGCAGAATTCTTTGAAGAAGTTTTGTTTTTTGCAAAATCGGACTCCGTTTTATCGAAAATCTGTTCTGAATCTAAAAATAAAAACGCAATAAAACTAAGACATTATTTAATTAGAGAAGCTTTTAATTGCTTATTGTCTGTAAAAAAAAAACAAAAAAAAAACAAACTTTTCGATGAAAATTGAAGTACAAGATTTGTTTTAATTTTTTACAATAAAATTGAATAATTTATAAAGTTTTGAATCTTTTAAAGTTCAATTTCGATGAGATAATTCTTGGGGAATATTGTTTAAGTAAAAAACATATGTCTTACAAAGTTTAAAAAAAAAAATTGACCCAAATTTAGAACGTGTTAGAAAGAAGGAAAAATTTTTTTTAAAATCTAAAAAATACTTTGTTCTTTCCTCTTAATAATAACATAAACATTTTAATGATGAAACTTTGTTTTTATTAAGTTTCGGACCTTTTATCATGATGCTACTGATTTTTAGCGAATTATTGGAATTACCTAAGTAAAACTTTACTAATCATATATTTTAACGTTTATTACAATTTGAAGACCCCGAATATTTTAAAAAGAATTTCGAATTGTTTTTATATATACATATAGATGCAGAATTTCTGAAGTATGGATGTAAAAACCGATAAATCTATTCTTAAAAGGCCACGTGTTTTAAACGTTGTCACTATTTACGGAAAAACAAAAACAAAACCCTAATAAAAATTATCGTCTGCTTCACCATACTTAACTATGAACACGTTCGGTGGTAAATCCGTCGTCAATAAATTGATTAACACATTTTTGTCAAAGAACACATGGTTAGGAAATGCCTGTATACAAAATTTTATGCTATAAGTAAGTAATATTTGTTTCAATCAGATTAACTTAACTTTAAATTTGCTAATTTTCCTCAAATAATGTTTCATAAATATATATTACATTTATGCAAGATTTTTAAAACGGAAAATTAAGTTTTGTTTACAAATGGTATCTTGGCTTCAGTCACATTCCCACCATCGTAACGTGGTATCCCTCTGCCTTTTTTATAAATATTTTCACAGCAGCTCTTTTAATGAACTCTCCTCTTTGGTAACTCGACTGCATGAATTCAAGTGTGGTACTAGATAGACAATTAAGTCTCTTCGTTTTACTAGTGAATTAGCTAGCGAATTCCAGTGGAGTTCGTTGCATTGGAAAAGGTATAAATCCACCTCTTCTCCCCAGCAATGGGTTAAATAGTAAGACGTGTATCTGGAAAAAAACAATTACAACATAAAAATATGTTAATGCAGTATTTACTCACCAAAGAAAGAAATAAAGAAAAATTATTTTTACAATCTAATATATGTCTCGACTTTAAATAATCCACAAAGGATTGATAATCTGTGAAAAAAAAAAAAAAAAAAAAAATAAAAACACAAACAAATAAATCAATAAGTTATCTCTGAATTTCTGGGAATTTGGTGATATCGTAATTGTAAGTTCAATCCCTGCGTCGGGTAGTGTATAGGGCGAGCAATAATTGAACAGTGAAGCACTAGACCAGATATCCTTACATATTCCAGTGGAACGAAAACATTCTACCCCCGGATCAAAGGCCGGAGGGCCCAACGGCTGAAACGTTGTGAAAAGAACAACAAAGATGAAGATAATAATGCAAATAAATGAATCAGTGTTAAGATGGCAATTTAAATATAGCTTCTCGTCCACTGTATAATTCCCCCGCTCCTTTCCGATATGCATATATCGGGACGAAATTAGGGAAACTGGACACGTCTCCGCCCAAACAATAGCCTTCTCATCACCATTGATAATAACATTCTGCTGCCCGTTCATTCAATGTCAGCCCCAACCACCCAGCATCATCATCGTCTCCGTCTTCTCCTCCGCTGCCATCATTGCATGCATTGTTGTCAGAATCCGGTCATGAGTGTCAGCGTTTTATGAGATTTACAACACGATCGACAAGACAATAACTAGAATTGCAAAAAGAATAATACCGTAATCAAGAACTTCTCGACAGATTAAATGTTGTTTCGCTTTCCTTAACGATTCTTCCTACTATTTTGAAAGTGTCTCTCAATCGCGTCTTTCCTCTCCTGAGCAATTATTATCAATCCCGCTTCACTTAATTCCAAAATGGCTCTAGGACTTCACAATGTGTCGTTTCTTTCTCCGTGTCCAGAAGGAGTTCAATTTCAGCTAATTTCTTCTGTTTCTTTTTCTCCTCCTCCTTTTTGGTCCTTGAGAGTTTTTATTTTTATTTTTTTCTAAAATTATTCCGTTTCGTTAAGCCTAAACAAGAATTATCTTTCTTCGTCATTTTCCACAAAAAAAATAAATCTTTCTTTGTACCTCATCCTTTTCCGTTTCTTTTTTACCCCCTCCTTTCTTTTTTTCCTTCTCATCTTTTCTACGCCGCCTTTTTTTCTTCTTCTCGTTCTTCATTCTCCCTTTTTCTTTTCTTTTTACTCCTCTGTTTTCATGTTCATTTGTACTTTCTTTCTTTGTTCTCTTTCTCCGCCCTCTTCCCTTTTTCTTCTCTTTCTTTGTCACCCTCCTTTTCTTCTCTTTTTTTTCATTCTCCTTCCTTCTCTTTTTTCATTCTCCTTTCTTCTTCTCTTTTTTCATTCTCCTTTCTTCTTCTCTTTTTTCATTCTCCTTTATTCTTCTATTTTTTCATTCTCCTTTCTTCTTCTCTTTTTTCATTCTCCTTTCTTCTTCTCTTTTTCATTCTTCCTTTTTTTTTCATTCTCCTTTGAGGTATTCTCTTTTTCATTCTCCTTTCTTCTTCTTTTTTTTCCTTTATTCTTCTTTTTTTTCTTTTTCTAATTTTTTTTCTCTCTTTCTTCTTATTTTTTTTCTCAAATTCTTCTTTCTTTTTCATTCTTCTTTTTTTCTTTTTTGAAAAGTTTTTTTTTTCAAATTTTCTTCTTTCTTTGTCTTCTCAAGAAAAAAAATCCTCCTCTTTATAATTTTTTCCCTTTTTATTTCTTTTTCTTTTCTCCAAAGGAAATTTTTTTTCATTCTCTTTTTTCTCTTCTACGTACTCATCTTTTCTTCACCCTCCTCCTTTTCCTCTTTTTCTTTCTCATCGTCATTTTCTTCTCTTTTTTCATTCTCCTTTCTTCTACTCTTTTATGTTCTCAGCTTTACTTCACCCTCCTCTTTTTCTTCGTCCTCGTTCTTCATTATCCATTTTTCTTCTCTTTCTTTGTGTATTTTCTTTTTCCTTTTCTTATTCCCTGCACTATTTTTATCATTTTTTATTCCTCTTTCTTTTCCTCCATTTTTATTCTCTTTCTTCATCACCTCTTTTTTTTTCTTATTCTTCGCCCTCCCTTTTACTTTACTTTCTTATTCCCTCTCTTCTCCCACTTTCTTCATGGCGCCTTCTTGATTTCACCTTTATCCACTGACATGAAATGGAACGATTATATTGAATCAATTTATGCTGCTAAAATTTTGATATATACTGTATCGTACTAGACGTTCTTTCTATTTTTGTTTTCATCTAGCGCATTTATAAATCTACCATTCGTCAATGCATTGAGTATTGTTGCCATACCTGGTTTGGTACATCTGTTATATATCTTCAAGATTCTCGTCAAAATCCAGAAAGTAAATCTGTAATTTATATTTAAAAAAAAAAACAAAACAAAACACTTGTAATGAATATTGTTTATGAATTTGTATTCATTTTTATATTATTGTTATATAATACATGGGCAACGCCGGGTAGCCCTGAAAATCTCAAATAAATTTTTGATTCATATATATATATATATATATATATATATATATATATATATATATATATATATATTTTTCATCAGGAGATGTAACAGTAAGAGATAGATCAAGGTATCGACAATCATAAAGACTGAAAAATAAAATTGACAAAGATTATTGTTTAAGGTTGATGGGACATGTCTTTTTTTTTTTTTTTTTTTTATGGTCAAACCCAAACTCAAACAAAAACATTGTTTTCAATTGTTATGAGTCAACCAATTGAATAGAATTTTATTATAAACAATTGCCTTTGTAAATGGTATTTTTAAAGCATTCTGAATGTAAAAAATAAAAAAAAAAAATTGTGCAAGACAATAAAAACACTACCTGCCAAAAAAAAGTGAAAAATTTTTGAAATCGGTTGAAAAATGTAGGAAATCCGATCCCATATATAAACGAACACACACACACACACACATCACAAACATAAGAACCTGGGTTTTTCGTATAACTCGATATGAGTTGTCCCCTTTCATTCTCGCAAAGCCTCTTAATCGTGTTTTCAAATTGATTTCGTGCAAAAACAATTGTATTTTTCCAATTTTTATATTTATATCAGAACCACCGCAAGGTAATTTTACATAGTCCTGTGAAGTTTTGTTGAAATTGGTTGAAAAATGTTTTGAAATCAATCCAATATATAAACGTACAGACACACACACACAATATGGGTTTATATATATATATATATATATATATATTATTTAAAAAACTAGGTAATCCGTATGGGTAAACCTAAGGAGGATAAAATCCAGAGAGCTCAATGTAAATCCAGAGCAAATAATTTAAATAAAAACAGACCACTTTAAGGTTCCATGTAATAAATTATTTCACCACAGCCCTTTTAAAGGGACTGCGGATCATCAGACTTTACTTCCAAACAAAAAATGAAAAGAAAATTTACACATTTTTGACGGGCCGTATTAAACATATGTAAATTAACGAAGTGAGGAAGTGAGGGGGGAGAGAGAAGACATGAGTGAGTTAGCAGATATTGACACATTTAAACGGTTAACTTAACGGAAGTTATATATTGATATCGAAGGAGTAGAGAAGAAAAAACCCATAGAGAGAAAAAGAGAGAAGGAAGTTATGAGAGAAGGTCTCACTGATTTACTTTGAAAATGAAAATCATGAAACTCTGTCTATACCGTTTTCACAGAAATGGAATATCTGTTTCTTCTGGAGAATCCGACCGAACATTTTGCATTTTTAAAGAAAAATAAAAGAAAAATAATAGTGTTAACAGATCTCTCGTTTCCACTTTATTTTCTTTTAAAAGAATAAATTTATATTGTCTGTCTTATTCTTATTCTATCAAACTTAGAAGTTTGGGACGTCTCTTCATTCTTTCGCTTGCAACTCACACTTGAAATAAATACTCGCTTTGGATCAAAATTTACATTTCGCAAACATAGGCGTTTACAATTTGTCCGTAAATAAACATTGCAAAAAAAATAAACAAAAATCGTTAAGCTTCTATTTTGATAGATGTATTTTTGAATCTATTTCTAACATTGAGCATTATTTATTCATTTATTTTCAGTTCTTTATTTTCCATTGTTTTTTATTTTTATTTTAGTTGATTTCTCTTTTATTTGCAAGTATTTCATATGGGGAAAAAGAAAAAAAACATACAATACGATATCAATTTTTTCTAGTTTTTTTTTTTTTCTCATTCCCAATTTGAAAATTTTCTATGCATTCGCACTTCGAATCAAACTTCCGATTCTGATTGGGTGCTCCTGCTATATATTTAGAGATTCTTGATAAAATCAAAAGAAGAATCTGCAGTGGTGTTGGTCCTGACCTGGCATCTCGGATTCAGCCACTTTCTCACCGCCATAATGTAGCTTTCCTGTGCTTTTTCTATAAATACGTTCATAGTAATTGTTCTGATGAACTTTCCCATTACAATTGGCTTTCTTTTTTTTTCTGTTCACACTTTCTTTAGTTTATTTCCTCCTCTCTCCCCCCGTTAGGTGACAGAGATTTCAGTTCTCTTGTAGATGCCGGGCGTTTTTCGTTTTTCGAGTTTGTATTTCGTATTTGTTTTTGTGTTTGGATGAGTGTGTGTTTGAGTGAGTAGTTGGTCTTAATTACCAATTCCCGCATTAATTTCGTCCAGTTAACTGTTTTTCTGCTACAATTAAGGATTTTTCTTATTATTATTACTAACACTATTTTATTTAGTTTCTTGTATTTACATTGTATTCATTGTAAATTTTCATTGGGGTTTCATTTTTAAAAGTGTTTATTTTTATTTCCCAACGCCGACAGACAAATTCTACATATAGGAACTGGTTGGGACTGCATAGACTTTGAGGTATTAAGGTGGCTGTAGTAAGAATGGTACGTGTTGTTTTGGTGTAAGGAATACTGTAGTATGTTTGGGTCAGTAATTGTGGCAAGCTAAGTTTATGATAAGACACATTGAAGACCAGCCTTCCCCTATCCCCCTTTGGCCTTGTGCCACATTTTTGTATTTTCAAAATAAATATTACTTTCCTGTATGTTTAGAACTTCATAGAGACTGGGGTATTATGGTGGCTGTAGTAAGTAAAAATGTGTTGTTTTGGTGTAAGGAATACTGTGATATGTTTGGGTCAGTAATTGTGGCTAGTTAAGTTTAATTATAAGGCAGAAGACGACCAGTTTTTCCCCATCCCCCTTATGGCCTCTTGCCACTTTTTTCTATTTCACAAAATACATATAAATTTGCTGTATGGTACCTAGAGTTAATGAATTTATGTGCAGTACTAGATTTGCGGCAAGGTGTCATCATTTTACGGTTGAAATGGCTAGGTGTAACCGTAAGTTCTATGCTAATAGTTTCTTCTTTCCCAATCATCTTTGCTCTTCAAAAATTTAATGTTATGCCAATAGTTATCTTCTGTATTAATTCCTGTTCTTTTATTGTTCTCTCTCCGTAATGTTTTTTTTTTTTTCATATTCTCTCATACTCTGTACCCCTACCCTCTTGCGTCTTAGTGGCTTTATCGCCTTGCTTGGGGTGAAATGATTAAAAACAATTTTCAAAGAATTATTTGTCTGTATGATTCATTCTGGAAAAAAAAAGAAAGGTTTTTGTAGATTTTGCTGCATTTTTTATTATTTATTCGATTTTATTTCTACTTACATTCTAGTCGAGTTTCGAAAAGGTGAGAGCAACCACTCTCAAATTTTATAGGATTTGTCCTCGTTTTATTTATCTTGAGATACGTTTTATTAGTGTGGCTTTTCTTACTGGCCTTTTCGAAATCTAATAACATTGCACTTTAAATTTTTCTGTAATTGATATTGACGCCTTCCTCCTTGCAATAGTCAAGGACTGGGCTCTTTTTAGTGCATCAAAATCGAATAAATATTATTCGATGTTCGACCTTGAAGTACACTTTGCATTAACACATGGAGACGAACACGTGCACACACACACACACACACACACACACACACACACACACACACACACACACATATATATTCTATTCGGTCGAGCTATCTCGAACATGCATGAGTCTATCACGGTCCTGCATCAAGGTTATTAGGGTAGCATTCAATGTCATAACATAGCTTGTCACTATAGGTTGTTGTTGGTCGAACAGCCCGTCTTGTTCCATGGCTAGGTGTCCAGAGTAGTCGATCACTCGCGAATTCTTGTTTTGATCGCCAGCAGTGTCCTGTTAACTGCATTCTGTGTTCGCGTAAGATTGTAGAAATATCATAGATGTGTCCATAGAGCTGTGATTTAGTTGGATTTTGTCTCCAAGAAATGTTAAGTATAGCTCTCAGCATCCAAGTGTAGGTTTCATCAAGTTTAGTTATGGTCCATCAGTGTGACCATACATTAACATCGCCTCTACAGTGACCTGAAATAATCTCCATTTGAAGTTGTCAGATAGATCAGATTTTCAGATTACATCCATATTATTCAAAGCGGTCCAGGTTTTAGCTATGCGAATTTTCACATCCTTTTCAGCAGAATTTATTTCGCTTCTTAGGTATGTAAAAGATTCAGCAGATTTTATTGATTCACCTGA